TCTGATTGTTAATTCTCCCCTCTAGCTGCTACACATTTCCTTTTAAATTAGTTTTTGAGAACTTGGTGCTGAATCAAGATAGCAGCTTCTACCTGACAAGTTTCAATATTCTCATTACTTGTCTGCTGAATAATATGCGGATATTAAAGGGAGAAGTTTCATGTGAATCACTTCTGGGAGTTAAAAGATTAACTTTTCACACTTTCCAGCACCTCACTCCCACAGCTCCCTGCAGCATGCTGACATCAATTTTTTTTTAATTGTTGTTACTTGTACAGTGTACCTTGCCAAACAGAAGGGCGGCCCATAGTCTACCTAAAAACAGTATGCATATTCTCCTCGCTGTAGTCTATACATTCCTGATGGAACTGACAAGAATATGTACAATGATCAACGGCATTATTAATTGGATATCATTTCCTATATTCTTATGACCTTACTGTTTAATTTTATCGTGATTCTGTAGAGAAAAATTAGATTGATATTCTTGAGGGTTAATATTTTAGTCTATATTGCTATATTTTCCTCTTTCATAGTGTTTTTCTAGTATAGCAAACAAGTTTTTCAAGCTCTTACTCTATGAAATGGAAAAGCAAAAAATTATCATAATGCTTAACTGTCTAGTAATGCACAAATCATTTTGAAAGCTTCAACTTCCATGGACATTTCACTGTCTTCTGTACCCTGAAGGTGGGGAACTTGAACCAGAAGTGTCAAGTCTTTTTAGTGGAACTCCAAATACAAGAGTTGTATTTTTAAATATGGAGGTACTTAAGGTATTAAATAGTTCGCTTTCATGAGAGAATGGCTCAATAAAAGGACTACAAGGTCTAGGTTTTAAAGTTTGGGCAATGTGCAGAAAGTCATGGTCCCTGATTTTGCCCTCTACAAAGACATTAGGTGGGGCATTTTGAACACAACTTTTTCCTTGGTGAGTGGGAATTTGGAAGGGGAGTACAAGTAGTACAAGCATCCACTGGCCAAATTAAGAGAGTTTATTAACCTTACAGCAGTTCTGATTCTCTCGTTAGCCTTGTCAACTAAAGTCAGAGAGTAGGCAAGATGGGCTTTGGAGAAAATTTCGTGGTGCAGACCTACCAAGTTTGTAATTTTTGGACAATGTCGGTGACGGAGTCGCAAAAAGTGGCAGAATACAGTCAAAACAAAGAAAACATAAACTACTCTCATGGGTTTCATGTGCTACAAAAAGATTTGATTTCCTTCCCGCGGCTCTCGAAGTAAAGAAGTAATTCTTGACTCTTACTCAGTAAAGCGTAATCTTTTTGCTACGTAAGAAATCCTTTTTTGACCAAGCTTGTTCGGTCAAGATGTTTAGATATTGGCCTAGTTCCCTTGTTTTTTTTTTTTTTCTTCCTCATTAATACGCAAAAGAGTACTCGGCTAATATCCAGCCATCTCGACTGAAACAAGCTTGGCCAATAACGCATATATCAGTTATATCTATCAACGAGAAATGTCAATGGAATGCATGGGGCATCTTTTCTGTAGTTTCTTTGGTAAGATTTCCGTATACCCCCATACTATTCTACATAAAAGCCGTAGTCACAGAGGTAATCTACGAGCTATTGTTACGCCACTGCCTTCTTTCATCCAATACTGTAAGCATAATGAATTATGGGGCTGTGCGGAAATCTCGCCGGATTTGACTTCATCGAAGTTGAGATTTGATGGTGATGTTTCTTTTTTCTTTGGGACACGTGATTCCGATCTCATTAGGACGAGTTTCGCGGCCTCCGCGATAAAGCATGGAGTCTCCATTTCCCGGAAATACTGTGACGTATGTTATTGTTGTACGTCATCTGTCGAAGCACGGGGAATCCCCCGGTGAAGAGTAACAGAAGGGAAGTTCTGATGTAAGGCAGAGGTTGAAAGAAAATACTCTTGAGTCCCTCTTGAGTGGCAGATTAGACAAATAGTATTCTCCATAAGCGTTTAGCAGAGTTTCGAAATGTCCCTTTCTGAACTGAATTGTACTTAGCCGGGTTAATTGAAAAGGTAATAAGTTTTTCTCAACCACAATGGGTTTCAATTGTGTTTGCCCTTGTGTGAATGCCTTTGATAATTTTTCCGCTGTCACCAATGAATATCTCTTTCATCTTTCATCTTGGTAAAATTTGGAAAGAAGAGTCATTTCAAATTCCTAGCTACGGGCTTTGAAGGTATTTGAATTTCTCTTACAGTCCAGTGAGCATTCAAAAAGCCTGTGGTCTGCCAAACGAATAAAGGGGGTAAGTTTCCAAAGAAACTGTAGTGCTGCGTCGGTGGGAGAGTATAATACGGAAATTTTGTTTTATCAATTGAGTTAAAAAGGTTAATTGGCTACCGTAAAAAGTTTAAACAGTCCAGTAGCAGAGACTGGAAAATTAAGGTTTCGTTCAATCCACGAGCTAGAAAAGGTTTGACAATGGATTTTATTAGACCAATACCTCCTGAGTAAGGCTCGTTACGCCGTAAAGTCGAAAAGTGGTATACGATCCGAGAGAAAGGAGGGGTTTTTGCTACGTCATCCCTTCGTCGGTGTGAAAACGAGGTTGTAGAGTGGATGACATTTGTTTCCTCATTTTTTTTTTTTTTACACCCTTATCAATATTGGCCGTCCAAATACCTAGGTAGTTCAAAACACTTGCTTCATTGGTTTAATTTTACTTTAAAGTGACGTCACGTGACTAATCATATGACAAGAAAAATCCTAAAGAAACCCTTGAAAATATTAAAAAATCTTTGTCTTTTTATAAACAAGTATTAAATTTTATTCTTGGCTTCTGTTGTCAAACCTTTTTATCATTTGGCTGTCCAAAACGTTCACTTCACCATTTATAGGTATTTTGTTCTTTGTTTAATGATCGAAGATCGATGCTTTGTCGATTAAATGACAAAACATGCAAACGAGGCTGATGCTCTAAGCTGTTTATCCTCTGCTTCTAGTTCAAGATGATAGTTTTAAAGTTTTCAGACTGTCCTTACAGCGAATCCTTGAAGCACTAACATCAAGTCATTAGCATTGCGCTGAAAATTATTCGTTGCTCAAGTAATAGTCGTACCAAGCTTCCAAAGCACATAGGCCTTGCACCATGTGTATACCATCTCACCTCATCGCGTCTCCTTATAACACTCCTCAACAAAATGGGACACTGTTGCAGTTGTGACAAACCGCATGTGACAGACA